CCCCACTCACCCAGCACACACACAGTTTTTGCCCCGCCCCCCTCAGGAAGGAGGTTGAGGAGCATTAAATATAGAACCACTAAACTGAGGAACAGCTTCTACCATGAAGCTGTTAGACTCATGAATCTCTAACCAGAAAAATCACTGTGAAAAATCACATCATGTTGCTGCTGATTTGTTTCATGTTGATGTGTTCATGCGTGCTCATCTGCTCACACAGACTCATGCTCATGTTTGTGCTGCTGTTTGACATAATGTTTTTATGCTATTAGTGCTTAGTGTATTTTTAGTTGATGTTTTTCTTAGTTCATATCTTAGATGATGTTATTGTTTTTATTTTACAATTTATTGTTGGATGTAACTGGGACCCGGTGTACATAATTTTGTTTAGTTTCGTACAGAAGTTCTTTCTTTCTTCCTTTCTTTCATAGCTTTCCAGACTTCACCCTTACTAATCTATCCCACTTCCTGTTCCATTGACTTTCCTTACTAGTTACATTACCATTCCTATCTTTAACAAGCCTAACCTGCTGCACATCCTTTCCAGCCTGATCCCTCTGTCTTGCCAATCAATAGTGGGCGGCTGTGGCTGAGTGGTTAGGGCAGTCGTCCTCCAATGCGAGAGTTGGGGGTTCTAATCCACCAGCAGTCACATGCTGAAGTGTCACTGGGCAAGACACTGAACCCCTCATAGCCTCTGATGTGTGTCCCATCAGTGTATGGATGTGATCTAAAGCACTGATTAGTCTCATTAGAATGATTTGTTCAATTAGCTTTGTAGAGATCTAGTAGAGTGCTGTATGAATGGGTAAATGAGGCACAGACTGTAGTGTAAAGCACTTTGTGTCTTGAAACATGATAGAAAGGTGCTATATAGTCCATTTACCATTTACAAGTCCTTCTCGCCCTCTTTAGTATCCAGCCTCACATAAAACTCATCATACACCTTCTGCTTTGCCTTTGCTACCTCCCTCTTTGCTCTACGTCCCATCTCCTTATATTCCTGTCTCCTCTCTTCAGTCCTCTCACTGTCATATTTATTCTTGGTTAACCTCTTTCTTTGAATAGCTTCCTGCACTTCACTATTCCACCACCAGGTTTCCTTATCATCCATTCTCTGTCCAGATGACACACCAAGTACCTTCTTACCCGTCTCTCTAATTACTGTTGCTGTAGTAGCACAGTCATTTGGAATCTCTTTCTTACCACCCAGAGCCTTTAACAGCTCCTCTCTGAATTTCTCACAACAGTCTTCCTCCTTCAGCTTCCAACATTTGGTCTTCTTCTCTGATTTTACTCTTTTTCTCTTCTTCACAACAACAGTCATTCTACACACACCTAATAGTGCAAAACAACTGATGAAAAACAAATGAGTCCAAAACAAATTAAAGGAATGCTGTTAAGCATTTATTAGACTTAGTTTTTCACAAGAACAACCTGACTGCTCTCTGCAGTAATTTCAATTTTTAACAAAACACAAATAAAACAGGTTTATGTGACTGTGCTTTGGAAAGACAAACAAAGTTCAATTATTTAAAAAAGTGCAAAGATGTTAAAAACCAGCCTGAAAGCTTCAGGGTCAGGGATAAACCCAGTAATTATCACCAACAGGTTTGAGCAACACTAAGTCTGCTGGTGAAACTGGACGTAAAGTTTTGTTTACCCTTTAAACCCTTTGTTGTTCCTCCCACTCACAGCTCAGACTTGTTCAGGCACTGATAAAACTAAAACTGAGCAGATTTTGATTCTTACACTCCACACTTTTCCAGATCCCTATTTTCAATGTTTTCAGTCGATTTACATACGTTTCCAGGCTTTACTGTCACTTTGGAGTAAAACAAAACAAAACAGTGTCCTGGTTTTATTATCTTTATGCTCATTACATGCCCTCCTTAGATGACATTAATCTGTCCTCCTGCTCTAATGTTAAAAATCTTGGTGTTATTTTTGATCAGGACATGTCTTTTATCCCCAACATTAAAAACGTTACTAGAACTGCCTTCTTCCACCTGCGTAATATCAATAAAATTAGAAACCTCTAAAAAATGATGCAGAAAAACTGTCCATGCATTTGTCACGTCTAGACTGGACTATTGCAATGGTTTATTAACTGGATGTCCAAATACGTCTTTAAAACGTCTTGAGTTGATCCAAAATGCTGCTGCCAGAGTCGTAACTGGAGGATTTAGCAAAAAGGAAAGTCTTAAGCCTAGTTTTAAAACTGGATAATGTGTCACCTCACGGACAGAAACTGGAAGTTGGTTCCACAAGAGAGGAGCCTGATAACTGAAAGCTCTGCCTCCCATTCTGTTTTTGTAATTTCTAGGAACCACAAGTAAACCTGCAATCTGTGACCGAAGTGCTCTGTTAGGAAAATATGGAACAACAAGTTCTGTAATATAAGATGGAGCTAGGTTGTTGAGAGCTTTGTAGGTTAGAAGTAAGATTTTGAATTCTATTCTGGATTTGACAGGGAGCCAATGGAGAGAAGCTAAAACTGGAGAAATATGATCTCTCCCACTAACTTTAAAAAGGGAGTTTTTCTTTCCACTGTTGCCACTGTGCTTGCTCAGGATGGGAGACTGCAACAAAGCCAAGATTCAACTTGTCTGCTGGATTCCTTAGATAGAGAACTTTACTAATTGGCTTTTATGTGTGAATGTTCCTGTAAAGTGCCCTGAGACAACTTTGATGTGATTTGGCGCTATATAAATAAACTGAATTGAATAAAAAAACAACAACAACTGTAATGACGATGAGGAGCCGAGAGGAAGCAGAACCAAGCTCTGGGCTGAGCTAGCTTGTGATCGATAAGCTGCATACAATATTCAGTAATAAACAACAGAAAAATAAATTGTTGGTGGCTTTTTAAACTTACAGAGCATTTTATATTTAACCCCGCTGCCGTGAAAAATGCTGTCATTGAGAGTAACTTAGTTGTTTTGAGCTTTTCAAGTCTGGATCACACTTATCCAAACTTGGAAAATACTAAAAACAAGTTCCTTTTTTTGATTTTTCAAGACTGTGTATCATCCCTTGCTCAGACAAACTGACAATTTATCAACAAACTACATTTGGGCAGCAACAAATGATTTAAATTATATTTCAATCATTTTTCTTTACAGTAGTTAGTCTTGAACAAGTCAGTGAAACATCTGTAATGGTTCGACACAATGTCTCAGAGTAGTTTGTTTAAAATCCGTAAAGGTTTGTATGTTTATTTTAATATAAATGGACTGTACTTATATAGCGCCTTTCTATCTTATTTCAAGATACTCAAAGTACTTTACACTACAATCTGTGCCTCATTTACCCATTCATACAGCACTCTACTAGATCTCTACAAAGCTAATTGAACAAATCATTCTAAAGAGACTAATCAGAGCTTTATCACATCCATACACTGATGGGACACACATCAGAGGCAGTGAGGGGTTCAGTGTCTTGCCCAGGGACACTTCAGCATGTGACTGCTGGTGGATTAGAACCCCCAACTCTTGCATTGGAGAATGACTGCTCTAACCACTCAGCCACAGCCGCCCCAATATAAAACTCCACTTAACATGACTCTGCTCACATTTACTACACAAGATTTACTCTGATGGTTTTTCAGACCATACTTCTTCTTCCAACTATTTAACTGTCAACAATGGTGTACCACAAGTCTCAGTCTTAGGACCCACTCTCTTTACAATCTACATAAGTAATGTAGGTCAGAGCATTCCTGTGCATCCTTGCATTTCTATGCCAATGATACAGTTGTTTATTGTCGAGCTAGAACAGTTGCTAAGGTTTCCAGCTTTTACAGTCTGCTTTTGACATCATCCAGTCAAATTTGTTCCGTCTCAAACTGGTGCTAAATGCTGATAAAACCAAAAAGATGTTGTTTTCAAACAGGAAGTTGGTTCCAGCAGTTCTTCCTTCTATTTTATCTATGAATGGTGTTCCTATGAGTTTGTCGATTCTTACAAATACTTGGGAATTGTGGTTGATGCACATCTCTCTTTTAAGCTGCATGTTAAAACTTAATAAAGAAACTGAAATTAAAATTGGTTTTCTTTTTCACAAATAGATCTTGCTTAATTGAATGCTAGGAAATGCCTTGTAACTGCTACTTTCCTTCTGGCTACTGATTATGGTGACATTATTTACTGGTACAAGAACGCTCCTGCAAGCACCCTGCAGATGTTGGATGCTGTCTACCATGACGCGCCAAGATTTACAACTGGCTGTAACTACCGTACCCACCACTGCACCCTGTATTCACTGGTTAACTGGTCACCATTAACTTCATGCATACTCTCCCACTGGTACATTTTCATCTTTAAATCCCTTCTTGGTCTGTTTTCTTCATACATCTCCTCCTACATGTCACGTCGTCAGTGCAGTTACAGCGTGCGCTCTCAGGACATTATTACCTGCAGCGCCCTCTCAGTGAGGACTGAAAAAGGACCTTCTCTTACTCTGCTCCTGGAACACCATACAAAAAGATCTGAAGCTCTCGACCTTGACCTCTCTAAAAGACTTTAAACATCTGCTACGTTCATGGCAAAACCCATTGCAGACATGTTCCTGTTTTTAGTATTTTACATCACTTTATAACGTAGCTGTTTTCGTTTTGTTTTATATCACTACGTTTATTTACTTTTTATTTTATGGCTGTTTATTGTTGTGTGTACCTTATCTGTGGTTTTGTCTAAAACAGGTCTCTCTTGTAAATGAGTCCTTGTGACTCATTGAGACTAACCTGTATAAATAAAGCCAAAAAAGTCCATGATTATAATTCAAAATCTCAAAAAAAAAAAAAAAAGAAACTGTCCAGACAACCTGACTGAAAACGGTTGAATGTATAAATGAAGGTTGAATGAATGGACAGAACTTCCTCAAGATTATGAAAGCTGTAAGAAGTAAAACTACAGAAACACAGAGAGCTTCTTTAATGTGTAGAGATCTGCAGACATTTTCTAACCGAGACAAAAACCTCCAGAAGCTCAGCTCACCTTTCTCTCCGTTGGTAAAAGCTCCCCTGAAGGACCCTCCCATGCGGATCTCTCCATCTTGGAGGTCCTCCAGAGCCAGGTCCTTTACCGGGATGGGCTGTCGGTACACCTGGAAGCGGCTCCTATCGTTACGGGTCACAGGTCGGGTCAGAACCAGCAGCCCAGAGAAGAGGAACACGTGTAGCCTCTGAAATACCAGAAAGAAAGATTAAACAGAGATTAAACTTTCACTGTGTAAAAATGGAAATAAGGAAGATTTAAAAAATGCTTGTACCCACCAACCCACTCTTTGTGCGCAGCTCGCCGTGACACAGTAGGGTCTTACATTTGTCCAGGAGAGGGTCCCGCTGCTTATCATCCAGAAACTCCAGCTTGTTTATGTAATACTGGCACTCAGACTCACCTTTTCTCACGTTGATATCAGACAAAATGTCCTGGATTATAATGATCTGGACAATAAAACAAAACCCAACATGTACAACATTTTTACGATCAGATTTGTTAGAGGATTGCACCGATAAATGCTAACATACAGCTCTCTCCAGGTTGGCTACGTCAGGGTGATCAGGGGGCGTGTGTCTGAGGATCTCTCGCAGCAGCAGCGGGTATTTCACCAGGCGTGACCGTGGGATGTCCAGGAAGCTCCACAGATCCAACTTCCTGCTGAAGGGCGACTCCAAACAGCGCTGCAGGAAATCCTGCACCCGCCTGTCCTGCTTCTTCTGGTCCAGCAGGGCCTTGGCTGCAAGCTGGTTGCTGCAGTAGTTTTTGTACGCGTTCAGACCAGGCAGCTGGGGACAAACAGTTGACCAGGAACCTTTTACAAAGCTTCATATTTTACATGACGCACCCTGAAGAATGTGTACGTACCCAGTCAATAATGATCTGTCCGACCTGAGCTACTGTTCCATCAGGTCCGGTCCCCTCTGTCAGCTTCATTAGCAAGTCTACGCACATGTTGAAACACACTCGTTAGTGTCGAACACGCTTCAAACCGTTCATTTTAGACTGTTTAGGGGCCACTCACACTCGTGTAGGGGGATGTAGGCATCCAGGTCACCAAATATATGAGCCAGCTCCTCCTCCGTCATGATGCAGAGCTTCAGCATGGAGTCGTGGTACGCCTGAATGAGACAAACGCAGCAAAACATCAACAGGGAGGATTATTGTTGGCTTTCTCTGAATAGATCTAGATATTTCCAACCTTTCGTGCAAGCTGGAGATCCTCAATGAGATCCTGCTCCCCCCTGAACAGTTCATAAATTGCCTGGAGAAGAAACGTTAAAGATAAGTTTGTCTTCTGCTCCCAACACCCCTACGAGGCTTTCCCATTTAAAAGCACTGAACTGCACCACCTCCTGTCTCTTTATCTCTTTAGTTGAGAACGTGCTCTTCTGATGGACGTCCAGCGTCTCGGACCACAAAGTGCTGTTCCTGCGTTTGGTGGGAGTCGGACCTGAAGCCCTGCTGGCAGCTCTGCGAGTCATCGCCGGCGACTTGATGTCGCCACGTAAAGACATCGACTGAGGAGCAAACGTGTGTGAAAATGACAGCAGAAACACAACGCTGCTTCTTTTACACAATGTTACTGGGAGTCGTGCGCACCTGGATTGTCTGGCCAAAACGCCGCACGGCTCCATGCTTCGAGGGAGACATCAGGTTGACGAGGGACGAAACTTTGGACAGCGGTCGCACGCGCTTGTTACTGGGTTCCTGAAAAACAAACAAACAAAATCTCTGCTGAGTTTCAATAAACTGAATAATGTTCAGTAAACGATGCAGCTTTTTAAATTAAGGCTATAAATTAAAACCAAAATGTTTTTACAAGTTCCTTTATTAAAAGTTTAATTATTCAAAACCTTTAAGTTATGTGAATGAAGTTTGAAAAGATTTTGATGAATATTTAAAGTATATTAATTAACTCTTTGATTTGGGGGGGGGGGATCATGTAGAGAAATAACTACCATTTCAAATAAGATAAAAAATGTTTTAAAAACCTTCAAACTACAAATATTTTGATCGAGCCCCTGACCCCTCCATCCTGAATGATCTATCTCAGGATGTCAAATTCAGCAGGAAGTGTTTTTTGTTGACGTTATGAGGAAAAGCCCCCTCCTCTGACTTCTTTGGATGCTATCGGGGATTTCCACTTGGAATTGAAAACTTGGGAATTAAAAAAACATCTTGTACTAAGATTTTTTTTGGTGTATTCTGGGATGAAGAATAGAGAAGAGCAGCGTTTCAAAACATAAAATCCAAACTTTCAATGCTGCTGTTTCAGTGTTTTTAGTGAACGACTTCCTGCATTTCTGTTCAAGTTACTCTGTTGCCATCTTCAGACTGAACAGACGAGCTTTGTCTCCTCATGCAGGCAGGTTTCTGTCCAACCCAGCAGCTGCAAACTTCAACATCATTTCATCAAACATATTTTAAAATTAATCAGAGTGTAACAACAAAGTCCATGCTCAATAATCCAGGTATACAATCCAACATTTTTCAGTCAGGTCATCTGGACAGTTTCTTTTTTTGTGCTGAAACGTTTCGCCTTTGATCCAGAAGCTTCATCAGTCAAAGAAACACACAAGAAAACTGATTCTTCCCCCAACAGCTTACTCCAAAGTGGAACAAACCAGTTCTGCTTGTGATAAGATGGTCTCTTTGGTACGCCCCTCCTCCATTGCCGGCCCTCTTCCTTGTTGACAGTCTTGTCAAACTGGTTGAAAACAACAAAGTCAATTTTTTTTTTTTTTTTTATTATTGTTTTTTTTCTTCATAATATTGATAGGCCCGATATTTTAGGCCGATATTGGCTTTTGGGGACATACCAGTATTTGTGATAATTGTCCCATTATGTGCCAGTATAAACACTGGGAACCAGTCGTGTCCTTACTGGCAAAAGGCGTAATTGTACAATGTATCCAGCAGAGGGCGCATGCAGATTACTTTCAAGTCATGACCCTTCACTTTAAGTTTCACTTTCATGTTCAGCACAGACAAAGCAGGGAACAATACTGTGTAGCATATTTTGCTGAACAGAACATGGTGTTTATTTTAACTGATCTGTAAAACAAATCATTAATAAAAAAATTATCTTCAATCCTCCAACCCGCTTGTCATTAGCTACGTGCCTCTCAAGTTAGCAAGCTAACGTTTTAACCTAGCATATAATGTTGCCTTGTAAAACTTTATCCAGAACAATAAATCTAACAGATGTAAAATATATCAGTGTTAGTAACGTTATCTTTGTCGTCCTCAATGAAATTCATTGTTAATCTGAATTCTTTACTTCTCTGTGAAGAACAATAAAAACACCACTGTGGTCAACACTAATTAGGCCTTCACCATACATGACTGACTGTTGAAACAATGAACAGGGAAGGTGTTTCTTTGTTTAATTTATATTTTTTGTAACACACTTGATAACTTTATAATGAATAATGGATAGAAAATGTGAACATATGTTAAGAAGACCGTTTCAAGGCTTCAAGTGTTAAAACAGGTTTAAAAGTAGCTCTTCATTTAGATTCTTGGGGGCGAACAAAGCTCAATAATTTTCAGACAATCCATTGGTTATCGGCATTAGCAGCCCCTTCCCAATAACGGTATCAGCGAGAGCCAAAATATCAATATTGGTCGGGCTCTTAGTCTGTTTCAAATCTTACTTCATGTAACATCAAACTGATTCATACTGCTTGTTATCTGCACTTTATGGACTCATCCTCATACAACTTGTAGTCTGTGTAACATCTCTCAATATACCTTATTGTGCAAGTATTGCACTGTACTACCTGAGACACAGCACCAGCCAGAGACAAAGTCCTTGTGTGTCTTTATACATTTGACCAAACAATATGATTCAGATTTTCTACCATCATCACAACTTTCTTTTAGCATTTAGCGTTTCAGTCACATTTTATGAAATCAGATGTGGTCAGATCAGATTAGGATAGTGAGGAACCATCTGTCTGCCAAATATATTACTGGCATCTGGTTTGGGTCTACAATTTATCCAAAATATATGCAATAAGCAATATTACACACTCTGATATTGCAATGATGATAAACGTTCTATATGTTGTGCATCCCTAAAGCATATATCTAAAATAATGACCCATTACTGAATAAAACCAAACACATTTATCTGGGTTTTGTTGATTTCAATTTAAATCTATATATTTTTTTTACAAGATTTTTATTTATTTATTTTTTTCCCTTTCGGCTGCTCTTTTCTTTAGGGGTCGCCACAGTGAACTAACTCGAACAAAGATTTTATTACAAGATACAATTTGAAGTATTACTTATTAAAAAAGAAGTCATTTTAAATTTAGCGTGTAGTTAATTTTTTGCACAATTTGTGAACTCTTAATTTGTACAGGAAGTGATTAAACCACTCTAACTGGCACATGCTTCAATGAAACAAATTTGTAACCGTTAGTGTCTAGAGCAGAGCTATTCAACTAAACTGTTTTTTTGAATGTCCAGAGGACCAGATTTAACTTTTTTAGATTTTTCTACCTGGATTATTGAGCATGCATCAGGATAAACTGCTCAGGGGCCACAGTTACTGAAAGCCAAGAGCTCAGGGGCCGGACATCCAGCAGTTATTGTCAATAAGTTTATTTTACAGTTTAAAATCTATCCATCCATCCATCCATTTTCTTTACCCGCTTATTCCATTTTGGGTCACGAGGGTCGCTGGTGCCCATGTCCAGCAATCACTGTGCGAGGGGCGGGGTACGCCCTGGACGGGTCGCAAGTCCATCACAGGGACACATAGAGACAAACGAGACAAACAACCATTC